GTTGCTCCTCCTCGCAGATTTTTCAGTTCAAGAGTGTAAAGGGACTTCAACCGGAAACTACTTTTTTTTTTTTCTTCGAACTTTTTCTGTCAGAAAAAAAGGAAAACGGGCCGACCCTCCGTGTCATAAACGGACTATTTCCTTATTTTCGCTCATTAACGTGTGCGCTGGAAATGTGTCAGCTGCCGGCCCGCAGGCGACAACTCAAGCGTTTTTGGTGAGAAAGGGCGACGTCGAGTGATTCTGGGCTAGTCAGCAGCCACATAACGGAGCCCAGTCTTTATCATGGAAGATGTGAGTAGTCCCTGAGTCTTACTGCGTGTGCTGCCCGCCCTGGTTGTGCTTTTGTTTTGTGACAGTTTCACCACTTTTGACAGAAGCGGTGAATCAAAGCACCCCGTGACGTTACAATAATGTACTTTGCAAAGGCGCGATCAGCTTCTGAGGCCCGAAGAGTGCTGGCAGTGTGAAGCTGGAGCACTTTTTCCTGGAAGAGTCATGCGAAGCAACAAGTTGTAGGTGACGTTTCCAGCAGACGGGCTTGCCTGCCTCAGCCAACTGCAGTGAAAACGTTCTGGGGCTGGAAACACCTGTTCACCTGTCTCCACGTCACCGATCCACGGAATCTGGTCCTTCCAGCACAGAGTCAGGGTGGAAGGACCACAGCCAGGGCAGGGCGGCTAATTCCACCCACAAACTGACCGCGTTAATAGAGCGCATACAGAAAAAGTGGAGCCTTTCAGAGAGAAACTGGTAAACGATTAGCGGTTCATCACTGGCTGCCTGGTTAGTTCTGCAGGACATGCCGAGCCTCGCACGGCTACACAAACAGGATAAAAAGGCAGAATAGAATCAAACGCAACAAAGTAGCTGAAGTGTAAGTTTGGCAGTTCTCTGAGTTTTAAGACTGGCTTAATGAGGGCCTCTCTTATCTTAGTACGTTATGATTTATGACAACCTGCGGGCGCAGTCTCAGGATCAGATAGTCTGCTCATCTGCTGAAAACTTGACGCTTTTCATTCAAAAACATCACAGTCACAGTATTCTATATATGACCTGCATGCCTCAGTTACATTTGGGCATTTTGAGGAAGCCGGTTTAGCAGAATAGGGAAGTCAGAAAGACACATACTATGTCAACTACTGTATGTAAGGAACTTGTTGTGCACACTTAATGCATGTGGTGCCACGCCCTTTGAGGGGGATTCATCAAAAGTATGCTGTTTGTTAGCTGCTCTCTACCTTCAGTCTACAGCGTCACGATTAAAGCAGCAGCTTCTCTTTTCCAATCTGTTCAGTCTGGAATTTGCAGTGCTGACGGTGAAATCAGTTAATACATTGTAAAAAATCAGTGTGACTCTGTGGCGATCGTCACATCCAGCTTGGCTGGGGTTCACTGAGGAAGACGCCATAGAAACTGCCTGAAGTAGAGCTGCTGGGAGATTGAAGAATGTGTCAGAGATCAGTGAGAAGAT